CGACGACCCCGGACGAGAGGCCGAGAGCAGCAGCTTCGCCCTCGCGCGCCTGCTGCAGGTCGCCCGGTTCTCGATAGAACTGCAGAAAACGGGGCAGCGCGAGCCCCAACCAGCCTGGTCCTTTCCATGGCCCCGGACATGTGAGGCGCCCGCCCAATCCCGCGGATTCTGAACATCAAATCGTCGACCACCAGGGCCTGACAAACACCAGGCTGACAGGCGCACTAGTGCCGGTCGCATTTGGCATGTGCGAGAGTGGCTGCATGCTTGGGCGTCTCTGAATGTTTGCCGACCTGGGTAACGCGCGCATCAATGTCCGAGCGAATCTGGGTCGACAGCCGTCGAGCCTCTTACCGCGGGAAGAAAGGGGGCGCCCTAAACGCAGACATGCGCTCGACAAGGCGGTCCCGAATTCGCCAGCCTCTCTTGGGTGACCGGAGTATGGGTCGTTTCCATGCCGCTCTGCCAACCTTCCGCCACTTCCCGTGGATCGCGAGTATTTCCCCAACACTCCTGTGTTTGGTTCTCATTTGATTGGAGCATTGCCTGCTCCTCCTTCCTCCTCTGGCCTCCTTGAGGGTGACGGTCGTGATGTCGACATGGTGACATGAACGCCTGTGGAACAACATTAGGGACAGAGCGCTCCTCCTGTTCCTACTCCCGCTGCTTCCTGCTCCTCCTGCTCCTCCTGTTCCTCCTGCTCTTCCTGCTCCTGATCCTGCTCCTGCTCTTGCTCCTGTTCCTGCTCCTGCTGGTCCTCATCCTCATCCTCCTCCTTCTCCTCCTAGTTTTCCGCCTCCTCGTCGTCCGTCGTCGTCCTCCTCCTCCTCCTCCTCCTTCTCCTCCTCCTCCTCCCCACCCCGTCCTCCTCCCTTTCCTCCCCTTGCCCTCCTCCTCTCTCTCCTCCCCCCAGACCCCCTTCCCCCTCGTAATCTTCTTCCTTCGTCTTCTCCTTTTTCTTCTCCTCCTCCTCGTCCTCCTTCTCCGCCTCCTCCCCCTCCTCCTCGCCTCCTCATCCCCCTCCCCGGCGCCGTCCTGCCATGATATCGATCTTGGGACGGATCGCGTGATGGACCTAGGAAGGATATAGTGGTGAGAGTCCGATGCTCCTACCACACTCTCTGGAAGGAGAAAAGCTGGATTCGCAAAAATCCCAAGGTCCTGCCACACTTTCTGGACCTAGGATAATTGGCCAGATAATAATCCTATGCCCCTGCCGTCCTTTCTGGACCCAGGACAAATGAAACGGTGAGAACCCTATGCCCCTGCCACACCTTCTGGACCGAGGTCGCTGGAGTGGTGAGAAGCCGATGCCGCTGCCACACTTTCTGGACCTACGACAACTGGAACGATGATAATCTTTCGCCCCATGCAGCGCTTTCTACACATATGGCAGCTGGAATGGTGAGAAGCCGATGGCCGTGCCACACCTTCTGGACGTAGGACACCTGGAATGGTGGGAACCCCGTGCCCCTGCAACACTCGTTGGACCTGCGACGGCTGACACCGAGCCAGAACATGATAGTGAGTCTCGTGCCTGGATCTGCGAAGACTGAGATGGAGCCAGGACAGACAGGACAGCTGGATGGTGAGAATCCGATGCCCCTGCCACACCTCCAGAACACCATCGTGCGCCTCACTTCTGGATCTGGGAACGCGGAAGCCGAGCGAGAACGCCATAGTGAGCTTCATCCCTGGACCTCATCGAGCCAGAACACCAGAGGGAGTCTCACTTCTGGACCTGCGAGGGCCGAATCCGAGCCAGGACACCACAGTGAGCCTCATCCCCGGGAGCGCCCCTGGCAGCGTGGGACGCCTCCCACCGGCTCCCTCTGTGGAGAGTCCGGCGAGGGGAACTTTCGACCTTTTGCAGAACCCTCTGGCGAAACGCTGTCAGGGAAAAAGCGACTCGGGATGAAACGCGGCCACCGGGAAGGGGCCCAGACTTCTGGGGGTTCGGAACCGTGTGATGTGAAGTCGGGCCTGTCCCCCTACAGGGGGATTTTCGCCGAAAAATAAAACATACCCCAAAAATAATCCAAAAATAGTCCAGAAATAGTCTGGGGACCATTCTTTTGATATATATTTTTTGACCTTCGTCGAAGATCCCCCTGTGGGATCCCCCCCCCGCGGCCCGTCGCCGCGCGCGCCGCCGCACGGTCGGGGGGAGGCCCGGGGTCGCCCGAGGCGCCCTCGGGGCACGGCCCGAGGCCCAGAGAGCCGTGCGGTGGCCCCGCGTTTCGCATTGGATCTGAGTCTCGGGTCGGGCGAAAGGGGGGGATAGCAAAGGGGGGGTTTGAGAATCAGCTCACGTAGCTGATTTTCCCGGCGCCTCCCGGCGCCGGAGGCGGCTATGTATCGAGGAATGGGCCCCTCGGCGAGGCCGAAACCAGCTGCATGCAGCAAATTTCGTAACCCCCCCTTTCCCAATCCCCCCCTTTCGCCCGACCCGAGGGTCGGGCGTTCCCCCCCACAGGGGGATTTTGGGCGAAAATTTAAAAAAATACTCCGAAAATGCCCCCCAACTTTCGCAAGCATCATAAAAGAAATCGTCGCACCGCGTGGTGACCGCGTGGTGACCCCGGACACCCCCCCCGCGGCCCGTCGCCGCGCGGGGCCCGTCGCCGCACGGCCGGGGGGAGGCCCCCGGTCGTCGCCCGAGAGGCGCCCGCGGAGCACGGCCCGAGGCCCAGAGAGCCGTGCCGTGGCCCCGCAGCTCCGCAGGGGCTTTGAGTCGGGCGCGTCCCCCCCAATGCAGGGGGGGTTTTGGGCGACACATTAAAAAATACTCCAAAAGAATACCCCCCCAACCTTCGCAAGCATAGTACAACAAATCGTCGGACCGCGTGGTGACCGCGGCGTGTCCCCCTACACAGGGGGATCTTGGGCGAAAAATGCAGTCAACGACCCGAGTCCCAAAGCCGTGCGGTGGCCCCGCAGCCGCAGTGGCTTTCAGTCGGGCGTGTCCCCCCACACAGGGGGATGTTGGGCAAAGAGTAAAGAAGACTCAGAACATGCCCCCCAAAATGCGCCCCATGTCGCCCGAGGCGCCCCCGGGGAACGACCCGAGGCCCAGATCCGTGCGGTGGCCCCGCAGCCGCAGTGGCTTAAGTCGGGCGTGTCCCCCCGCAGGGGGATCTTGGGCGAAACATACAAATCAAAAACCCTAATAAGGACGCGCGGTAAGGACGCAAGACCCTCGGAAGCCGGAGTTGGGATTTCTGGGGCGGCGGACGACGAGAACCCCCAGGACGCAAGAGCAAGGAAGAGCAAGGACGCAAGGGTACCCTCAGCAAAGCCGCGCGTCCTTACTACTGTAAAGAATGCTCAAAGATACCCCCCAAAATGCGCAAACATAGTAAATAAAAAATCGTCCACACACTATGTGTTGACCATTTTTGAAGATCCCCCCTGTAGAGGGACGAGCCCGACTTAACATTGGAGCACCGCGCCGGCCCTCCTCCGAGCGTTTGCACGCGGGGGGCCCTCGGCGAGGCGCCACGGCTGGAGACCACCCAGGGGCCTCGCAGGCTCTCGAAGCCTCTCCGCCCCACGCGAGCAGGACGAGCACGCCCCGGGCCCCCACGACCTCTCCTTCCCGACGCCCCCTCCCAGTTCTTGGTGCCACCATTGCCCTCGCATCCTGCTCTCTTGTTCGCCTCCCCATCCTGGCCTCGCTCCACCCTCGCCCTCCTCTCCCCCTGCTCCCTCCCGGGGGCGAGGGGCGGGGAGGAAGGATGGCCCATCAGGACGGACGCGGGGGCCCTCCAGCCAGAACCCGAGAATCCCCGAGGAGCGCCCTTGGCGAGGCGCCACTGCTGGAAGCCACCCAGAGGCTCGCAGCCTCTCGAAGCCTCTCCGCCCCACGCCCCGAGCCCCCGAGAATCCCCGAGGAATCCTCACCGCGCCCGCGCGGCGTGGCCACCACAGACCTTGTTTGGGGGGCCCCGGGGGACCGCCGGCGCCCGGGCTGCACCACGCGGTGTGGTCACCTCACCGTTGTTTGTTGCTTTGTTGTTGTTTTTTGTTGTTGCTGCTGGTGTTGTAACTCTTGTCGTTGTTGTTGCTGGTGTTGCTGTTGGTTGTGGTTGTTGTTGTTGTTACTGTTGTTGTGTGTTGTTTGTTGTGTGTTGTTTGTTGTTGGTTGGTTGTTCTTGTTTGTTGTTTGTTTGTTGTTTGTTTGCTGGTGTGGTTGTTGTTGTTGTTGTTGTTGTTGTTGTTGGTTGTTGTTGTTGTTGGTGTTGTTGGTGGTGGTTGTTGTTGTTGTTGTTGGTTGATGTTATTGTTGTTATTGTTGTTGTTGTTGTTGTTGTTGTTGTTGTTGTTATGGTTGTTGTTGTTGTTGCTGTTGTTGTTGTTGTTGTTGTTGTTGTTGTTAGTATGGTTGATTGTTGGTGTTTGTTGGTGTTGTTGGTGTTGTTGTTGTGCTGCTTATGTTGTGCTGTGCCGTCGTATGTTTTAGTATGTCGTGCTTTCTCAAGTGTCGAATGCAATGTGCTCTCCTACGCTCTTGCGCGCGCCCCCTCGCCGCAGCTAGTATACTTCGGCTCTGCTCGAAGACGCGAGGGTGTCGGAGGGGCCTCGTCGACCATACCTCTCAGATCACAGCGCGCCAGGGAATCATCACCAACTCGTTGACGTATCGCATTTCGGCAACCCTGACCCCCAGAGCGCTGTCATGCCTTGGTGGCGCCTCTTTCACACCTCCGCCGCCCTCCCGCCGCCCTCCCGCCGGCGGAGGCGGCCCCGTCTTCCTTCCGCCGACCCTCCGCTGCCCTTCCGCCGCGGAGAGGACCGCTCCTCCCACCCGCGAAGGCAAAGCCTTTTTTGGGGGGGGAACGCCTCACTCAAGGGGCCCAAGGACACACAAATAGATACACACGAATAAAACACAAAAACAATATTTTCCCATATTTTCTGGGTTTGGGTCTTCCCCCCCCCACTTTCCATATTTTCCCATACTCTCCGGGGGATCGACGATGAACTGTGTCTGTGTGTTTTTTCCCCTCCAGACTCGTATATCAATTGCGGTCTGCTCCCGTGCAGAGCCCGGCGCCCTACGCGCTCGGAGGCCCGAGGCGCCGGAGCTGGGCGTCCGCCTGCAGGAAGCAGCCCCCGTCGTACGCGAAGTTCACCTCCAGGTGCGCGGTGCCCGGCGGGAGGCCGGCGGCGGCGTCGCGGACGCCCCGCATCATGCTTCGGGCGCAGTCGACCTGCGAGAGGGACGGGTGGCGGAAGGTGTGCCCCGAGACCAGCGGCAGCCGCAGGACGCGGATCTGGGGGAGGGAGTGCTGCTCCGCCACCTTCGCGTTGTACTCGCAGACCGAGGCGATGACGCTCTCGGCGGTGGCCTGCAAGAAATCGCCGAACTTCTTCGGGTCCTGGAAGACGTCGCCAATCCCCTCCGTGTTCGCAAGCGCAGAGCCGCTCTTGCCAATGGGGCCCACCGTGTAGACCAGCGCGACGTTGTGCCGGGCCAGGGGCCGGCACGCCGGCTTGAAGATGTGGACGAAGACCACGCCGAAGCTCTTGAAGGCGCCCTCGAACAGCCGGCAGCCCGACCACTCGAGGGCGCCGTGCGAGCACAGCATGCTGGCGCTCGCCTTGACGAGGGTGCCGCGGGCCTCCGCGCGGGCCTGGTCCAGGAGCAGCTGGTGGAGCTTCAGGTAGCGGTCCACGTCCTGGGGCTCCTGGCACTCTCTGGAGAGGAGCCGGGCGATCGCCCCGTTGTAGGCGCCGCCCCCGACGAAGAGCATCTCGTCCCCGGGGTCCACGGCGGCGAACGCAGGCGCCCCGGGGCCCTGGACCTCGTAAGGTCTCGTGCCGGGCTCGCCTGGCCCCGGGCTGTGGAACGACCACGTGATGGGATCGACATCGCCCGCTGCGCGCGGCGCCGCCGCACTCTCCCGCGGGGTGGCGCGGTCCAGGCCCCCTGGTCTGTTCAGCGCCTTCAGCGGTGGCGGCGGCGCTGCCTGGACCGTCTCCCGCACCGGCGGTGGCGCTGGTGGTACTGTGCCCGCCAACAGGTCTGCCTGCACAGCCTCCCGCGACGCCGGTGGCGCAGCCGGGGCCAAGATGGGCTGGAGCGGCCTGGGGCGGACGGCGTGCCGCGGGCCCTCGTCCACCGCGGAGGCTGGGCAGGGCCTCTCCAGGTCCGCAATGCGCCTGGCCTGGTCCTTCACTATGCCGGTGAGGTGCTCGACCCGCCCAGACAGGCCCTCCGAGGTCGCCCGTAGCTCCTCCAGCCGCGAGAAGATGGACTCGGCCTGCCGCTGCAGCAGCCCTGACCGAGCACCCGCGGGCGCCTCCTCCGGGCCGCCCCGCTGCGCCGCCGCGGCGGTGGAGGGCAGCGCCAGGGCGAGGCCGGCGCGGATCTCCGCGAGCTCCAGAGACAAGGCGTCGACCCGGTCCTGCAGGGACACCTTCTCGGTGACGGTGCCCTGCTGCGCCGCCGGGCCGGCTCCGCACGCGGCGGCAGCCATCGCGCTGGGAGCAGCCCCCCCCTGCTTTGCGCAGTGCAGGGCTGCGAGCAACGCCGGGCTTCTTGAGCCGAAATGGCTACGGAGCGGTCACCTCGCCGTCTGGGCCCCGCCGCGGCGGAGGAGGAGGAGGGGGAGGAGGGGGAGGAGGGGGAGGTGGAGGAGGAGGGGGAGATGGAGGAGGAGGAGGAGGAGGAGGAGGAGGAGGAGGAGGAGGAGGAGGAGGAGGAGGAGGAGGAGGAGGGGGAGGGGGAGGTGGAGGAGGAGGAGGAGGGATGAGGAGGATGAGGAGGAGGAGGAGGAGGTCGTGCTACAACAAGGAGGGCCAAGACCAGGAACGAATGGGTTCTCTGAGTCACGTTCAGCCTCGACCACGAGCAAGTCCCCCGACCTAGGTTTGAGGAACGGCCAGGAAGCCTGAGCACCTCCTGAGTCCCTCCTCCTCCTCCTCCTCCTCCTCCTCCTGAGCCCAAGGCGGTCTTACAGCCAACCCGTATCATAAGGATGCACGATAAGGATGCGAGGGCCTTGGAAGGCCATTTCGAAGCTTTTCGCGCGGGGCGCGGCCACCGAAAGTTGCCAAGGATGGGCCGAAAGGGCAAGGATGCAAGGGTACCCATGGGAAGACTGCCATCCTTATTATGCGGGTTGACTGTAGTCTCTGGGCATCTTTTGACCGACCACTACCCCCATGGGCGTGGCCTGGGCCCCAGTGGCCGATGTACCACCCCTAGATGCGGATATATGCATATATGCTGCTTCCTGCAGGTTTCGAAGGGTAGATCCCCAACTGGGGGAGGAGGAGGAGGATCATGAGGAGGAGGAGGAAAAGGAGAAGGAGGATGATGATGATGATGATGATGAGGAGGAGGAGAAGAGAAGGAGGAGGAGGAGGGACCAGGGACCAGCTGGGTCCATCGTCCGCGGTGAAACAGACTATGGCCGTGGGGTCGGCCAGGCAGGGCCTGGCAGCTAGGCGCAGCCGCCTCGCACATATGGACGCCGCGCAAAGCGGGCGCACGACGGCGGCTCATAGCCGCAGCGTGCTCAACACCGTGAGGCGGAGCACGGACCATGGAGGGCAAGTGGCCGCGGGTCCCGAGAAGGGAGAGCCGCGACACAGAGACCTGCGGAGGACGCGCGAGCCATCCTCCCAGCAGACCCTGAACGCCACCCGCCAAACACGAGGGCGCCTAGTCTTCGCTAGGTGAGAGGCTCGCGCCCAACCAGGACATGATCACGGTACCAGGCCTGGCCCGCCGTGGCCTTGCCCTTGCAAGGCAGCAGCAGCGCACGAAAATGTGGTGCTTCGATTGATGCCCGAGCACCGCACCTCCTACGCGCGATGTGAATCTCGGCAGCCTCCACGACATGCTCGAGATGCTGAAAAGGTCGGCGGCGGCGCCGGCGGAGCCGAGCCGTCGGCTCCCTCTCCAGCGAGCTCTGGGTGCTCCAGCGCGTGTCTCACGGCTTCGCACCTCGCTCTGGGGAGCGCGCGGCCCCGCCTCGCCGCCCGCACCGACGCCAGGAACAGGTGACTCGGCGTAGGCCTGCAAAGCGCTCCAGGCTGCTCGAGCTTCGCTCGTCTGGCCCTCGCGCGCGCAGAACAGTGGCACCAGGTGCACCGCACTCCCCCGCCACCCCGCTCCGACTCCACCTCCTCCAGGGCGTGAGCCAGCATGCTGAGCTGGGGCGGGAGCGGCTCTCGCGGCTTTGCGCGAGCGGCAATGTCGGGTGCACTGGCGGCGGCCAGCTGCGCAGCTCGGCTGACGAAGTCAATTGACTTCAGAGCGCCCTGAACCTGCGCTCTGACGTTGGAGGAGACCACCTCCGACAGCTCGCGAGATGCGGCCCCGATCCGAGAGAAAAAATCAGCCCGGGCATTTCCCGAGAAATCCAGCGCGCGCTGGGGCCCGTCAGCCCCTAGGGCCGCCTGGTCTTCGAGGACCTGATCAAGGTCCCCGTGGGCAGGGGTCCAGACAAAACGGGGCCGTTCCGAGCGCCCTTCGTACAAACTAAAAACAACTCGCCAGGTCGCGGCATGCTTGCCCGATCCTGTCGACAGAAGCTTGCCCCACCCGTTCCCTTCACGCACCGCGGACAGGTGATCCGACACTGCAACAGGGCCCCGGGGGGCAACTCGCAGCGCTTATAGGATGGCCTCCCTCTCCGCTCTTGGCACGGTCTGGTGGCTGCCAGCCAGCGGACCTTATCGAGCGCGGATGGGCCACCCTCCAAGCGAAATTTCGACCACCGACCAGCCGCATCTGGCCAACTCAGGGAAGCTATTGTGAAGGCCCGAGCCATCCGTGTAGACACGGTACCCCCACTCACTGCGCGTCGCTCCCACTCAGGAACTTCGCCGCACTGGGGGATGGGCGGAATTGCAACGGTCCGAAAGGGAAGGCCATGCACCAACTCAACCGAATCGAAGTCGGGGAAAATCCCATAGGCCATCCCTTTCAGCCACGCTCGGTGCTCCAGGCGATCGTTAAGCATGGGCGGAGCGGTGTCTGCGTTCGCATCTGCGTCCCACAGAGCCTCACACTCATAAAACTGTTGCCCAAAGGTGCCTGGCACTGCATTGTAAAAAATCGCAAAGCGGGGATTATGCGCAGCCGTGCTGGTGCTTCTTAGCTGGGGGCCATAGAGCTCATCCCAACAGCGCACGGTACGTATCTCTCCTGATTTGGTCGCGAATCTTGCCCGCTCCGACCCGCGGCGCTCGGCCCCAGGTGACATCGGAGCCCGTCGCCTCGGGCAGGCTGGTTACAAACTGTACACACTGCGCGCGATTGATGCCTTCGTGCAGCAGCTGTCGCACATCGCTGGGACACTTGGTAAACAAAAAGCCACAGAACATCCCCTTGGTCCGTCAAAACGCGGCGGGGCCCAATGAGGGCCCAACCCGCGCGCCGAAGGGAAAGCCAAACAGCCCCCACGGGCCCGCGCCCTCGCGACCAGTGCGGTCGCTCCGACAAAACTGTGTTAGCGGACTCCCAGGCTTTACGTAAGTTGGTATCCGAGACCCTCTGTCCCCAAACCCAGCAGCAGTATCGCTGCGCGAGCGGGATTGTCACGTCGACCACGGGGTCGTGCGACGGGCCCCGGCGCGTGCACAAATAAGCAGCGACGTGCGCTCGGCCTTTGGCTCCTAGCAAGCGCGCCGCAAACGCCCGCAACGAAACCAGAGTAGCATCCGTCACCCCCGTAACCCCCGATCCGTGTCCAGCGCTAGGCAACAATCCCGTTTTCCAGAGGCCTGCCACCTGCTGGTGGCCTGCAGCTCTGCGAAAGGCGGCCGCGCGCTTCCGTTTCTCCCACAAGGCCGTTCGCCTAATGGACTCAATCTTGCGGTGCACCCGCCTGTCATATCGTGTCCGGGTTTGCGCATGTGCTTGCGACTGGCAAAACCTAGAGGACGCGCTGTCACGCTGAGCTTCTTTTCGGCAGCAGTAGCCAACGCAACGAAACCTGACTTGTTGGGCTGGAGAAGCACTCCTATAGCCTGCACTTGGCGATGCAACTCCTTCGTGGCCCCGAGAACCTGGCGCGCGTCTCTCACATCGGGCCCGTGCTACTGCAGCGAGACATCGCCCATTGAAGCTCTGGCGCGCACGTCAGGGAACTGACCGATCGCGCGCTTGATGGGCTGGAAGAGAATGGCTAACATGACGGCCGACGCGGCAGAGCAACCGGCAAGGATCCCTTGGAAACTGACGTACGCTTCTGACAGCGAGCCGTAAGCATCGATCATACGTGGCGCCGTATAGCTCTGGATCAGCACCCAGCCCAATCTCAGCGGGAAATTGGCTGCACGAAGAATATGAGAACAAACGCATTAAGCTTGATCATCTCATAGCATTCGATCATGTTTAATCGAACAGAGACGAGATGGTGCTGCTTGGCCGAGGCAATCTCGGCGACTACATTCAAATCAAACGCCGAATCACTCGCGCTCCTCCCGTTCCCAGCCCCCCAGAACTCTCCCGTCCTATTCTCACGCTCCCATGCTTCGGCCTCGGGGCAACGCAGCCTGCCCCAGGGCCTGAGCAGGGCGTCCAGCAGTGCGATCAGCCTGTGCACCCCTATGTGGCCCCCCCAGCCTGGCGAGGCGGCTGGCGAGCCGAGCTTGAGGGCCAGGCCAGGCATCGCCCGCGCGCTAGGAACACGGCGGCAATGGCCGCGAGAGCGGCATCATATAACTATTGCAATGATCGGGGGTGTATGCGGCAACATCCAACAGCTGTGGCCTTCCTGATATCGGGAACGGCGGTCGTCGGAAGCGAAGGCCAATCTCTCGCATCTGGCGGCAGCCCGGGCGCTCGGCAACCATGAATGGTCCAAATTTGGGCCCCATCCGAATCAGTCGGCCAACTCGAACGGCGGGGCTCGGTCGGTAGACGCAATCGCGTCCTGAACTCCTTTTGCGCTAGGAAAACGATGGGCACCTTTAGACCCGCCCTTGGAACACTCGGCGGCCCAAGCCTGCCAAGAGGCCTCGCGGCGAGCCAAAAAGCGCCCCTGGCGCACCTCCGCCAACCCAACGACCATTTGAATCTCATCTTCGGCCCCGGGATCGGCGAACGCTTGGGGGCCAGCGAGGAGGAATTCACGTGTGAGCGCGTCGAGATGGGCGAGGATCTTGCTGTGCTTCGCTATGTTGCCGAAGAGATGTCAGCCTCTAGCAAGACCCTGGCAACCCTCATGAAGCGGCGCTTCTGCTGGCTGTCTTCATTGTCCAACTTGGGTACGTAGGCCACCAGCGCAGCGCGAAACCGTCCGACTTGCCTCGCCCAGCGCGCGGCCATGCAGCATGCCGCGTACTCTGGCTCAGCACGAGGAAACTTAATCTGAGGTGTCGCCTATAACTTAGCCCATTGAACTTCATGGTTGCCAGCCCTGCCTGCGCACTCATCGCGCTGCACGCCGATGATGTCATGCTTGTCAAGGAGCTGCCCCTCAATGCCAGCAATGATGCAGCCCGAAACATCGCAAGTTCATCCCCTGATGATGCGTGCGCAAGTTGCTCATGAAACGACGTCCAGTCACGTGGGTATCGACCGCATCCCTGCGGGGCA